ATCAAAATTTAAAAAAGTGGAGAAGTTGGGCATCGATCCCAATACCTCTCGCATGCTAAGCGAGCGCTCTACCATATGAGCTACATCCCCGTGCTTGACGTTGAATATATATTTTGAGTGTATATTAACATTGACCGAAATTCGTTAAAGGACAATCATTTTTTTTAACTATTTCTTTTGTTAATTTTTAATGTCGATCTAACTACTGATAGGATAATCACCGAGTACTATTCAGAAAGATCAGATAAAAAAAAACAAATAAAAAATTTTGATATTTTAATTTAAGATTCAGATATACATTGGATTAATTTTCTAATGTTGAGAAATTTCTTTTTCAAAATTTTCTATACTTCTTAATGATCTATTAAAATATTATTATGATTAGTGTTAAGCCATTACAATTCCATCCAGTTTTTCGTTGAGTTTTGACGTTGATAAAAAAAAACTTTTCTTTACTTTACTGTCTACGTCAACTACGTTAGTCAAAACAACACATATTTTCATCGCCAACATGCTTTATTATTGTATTGTTTGTTGACAAAAGAACGGTGTACGTTGGAAATTTTATCGTTTGCTTTTTCTCTGCTTTTATTCTACTAGTTATTGTCATAAAAGTCCACATGGCGTCATCAACAATATCATCCAAAGTCTTATGTGTTGTGTGCAATAAAGGAAAAGGAACTTTCAAATGTGAAGGATGTTCACGCATGTTTTGTCCAAAACATTCAATTGATCATCGAAATGAATTAAGTAAACAATTAGAAGAAATTGTTGTAACACGTGATCTTATGCAACAAACTCTTATTCAACAAATGGAAGATCCTCAACAACATCCTTTGGTAAAAAAAATTAACCAATGGGAACAAGAATCTATTGTCAAAATTCGCCAAGCAGCAGAAGAAGCTAGAAATAGATTAATCAAGACTACTACTGAGTATACAAATGATCTTAAACAAAAGCTGAACAACTTATCTGATGAATTACGACAGGGCCAAGAAGATAATGACTTTATTGAGACTGATTTACAACAATGGATACAAAAATTAGAAGAACTAAAAAAAGAACTTCATAGTCCAGCAACTGTTGCTGTTCAAGAAGATTCTACTCCACTTATTTCCAAGATTCTTATTCGCAATCAAAATACATTTGATCTATTCGAACGTGTTTGTGGTACTGCTGAAATCAAAGAAAATGGTTGTCTTGTTGTGAAAAATAATTCATCTAATCACACAGAAATACGTGGACAAAACGAATATAATACTGGAAGACACAGAGTTTCTTTCCAAATCGAACAATTAGCTTCAGGCGGATGGATCTTTTTTGGAATCATTTCGAAAGCAGAACCTATGCAAACATCTTCGTATAGTTCACCATCGAGTTATGGTTGGTCAAATCAAAATCAAATCTTTAGCGGTGCTGCTGGTCAGATTATTAGTGGAGAAACTATTGAAATCGTCGAAAACGATACTATTACATTGTTGATTGATTGTAACCAAAAGACAGTTCGACTCGAAAATGATCGATTGAATAAGAGTATACAACAATTGGTTGATATCAACAAATGTCCATTTCCATGGCAACTTCATCTTAATCTTTATCTAGCTAATACTCGTGTGCGCATTCTAAACTCATCCAATTAAGACTTGATTTTTACTCTTGTCGCCTCAATTTTTGCTAATTAACAATTTTCGTTTACTTTCCCACATGTGTTTCAAGACGAAATGAGTTGTCAACAACAATCTTTGAATTCTTTTTTTAATGTAAAAGACTATACTCAAATGTCAAAACAAAATGTTTTTAAAGAAAATTAACTATTTAGTATCAATTCGAAACCCAACTGATTAGATATCATTTCTTATGGTCTTACATGATTTCTCCGTTGGATAAGACATGATAAAATTTAAATTACTTGTCTATATCAAAAAGGAAAAAGTCATGATATGATTACTTTGATTATTGATTCTAATAAAGAACAATTCAAA